AAAGCTTAGCTCAGTTTCATCAGGGTCGCAGAACGGTGAGCCGAGGACTTACAAAACGATATATGTAAGTATTTTAAACCAAAGAATTTCAGATAGCCCTGAAGCCTAAATGTATTTTCATAAAAGTAACGCAAAATAAAAAGGACCAAATGCACAAGATTCGAATTAAATTAAATGGAAGCAGAAAATAGCAACTAACATCTGATGTGCAGCATCAAATCCAAGGAAGGTATGCTTAATTTCAAATTCGAGAGCGACATCATAGAGAGACAGTAGCTGAGTAGCACGAGCCCGATTAAGTTTTCCATCAGCACCAGTAATAAAATCTGTTTGTGAATTCTTGAAAAAACAACAATACTTTAAGCAAGCCATAAAATAGATAGCCATTTACATGACATGGGAAATATTTATTAGTAAAGGCAGAATTACAGATGCAGCCAGTTTCAGACAAATGAAAGCATTTAAAATTGGAATTCCAAATTACATAATATTATATAAATGCTACAGCAGTATATCTTAATATGTATTAAGTATGAGACTATATGTGCATTTGAAAATACACAGGAATGACAACCATGGTAAAAAAAGGTAAAAAAACTTGTGAAATCGTAAGCAAAAATACCAAGCTAATTTAAAGTAAAGAGACTATAATCAGTGAGTCTCGAAATAACCTATGTAGAAAATAAGTATCGTAATCGATTGGAGTGCCAAATGCATGCATGCCCTGTCGAAAATCCCACTATAAAAAATTAGGTGGTAGAAACCTGACTTAAATGTTACATTTGCACTGGGACCTCAGTGATGATAGAATAAAATGAAAACATCGCCAATATAATCAAGACCCGATAACGAATCACATTTTAGATGCTGATGAGATTTAGAAAAGGTAGAACCTGCTGCCTAACCTGGATAAGATAAGCATTTAGAAAGAAAGGCTGAATTAAATTCAATTGCATCTTAAAGTTTACTCATCTTAAGCGGCCGATTAATTTGTTACAAATACAGAATTTATAAAAGATTCGTAAGCGCATATAAACATGGTTTAGTGTGGTATCAAAAAAAGCATGAACTAAGCATGTCAAATATCTGTAAAAATATTCAGGGATTTCCACTTGTTATTATCGCACTTTAATAACAGAAAATTAAAAGATAAGACGCTATTAAGCATTTAATATATGAAAATCAAGATGATGTGCCCTTCGGTATAGTCGCAGAGGGTGTCAGAGAAGGCTTGTCCAATTAAGTCGCCCTGACAACAGGACCAAGTTACAAATACGAGGTCAACCCGCTTCAATTATTAAAAATTGTTTTAGATAAATAAGAGTGTTAATGTCTTTTAGAAATAAAAGCAGTCTTCGAAGAAAAAAGACCAGGATAGAGTGATATTTGTATAATCGCGTTCTCTTTTCATTGTATAGAAGTTATTTGACCTTGTTTTCGCAACTTGGTCATATTGGCAGGAATACCTAAAGGAACTCATATTATCCAGAGTCCATAATATGCATGATAATTCCCAGAGCCGAACCGTGAACTTGGTACATCCGTTTCGCCGGAATCGCCAGTGAGCATTTTCAGTCTTAGCATCACACTACTACTCGTCAAAGAGACAAGTGAAGTCGATCCTTCGACCAATTGTCTGCCAAACAGTGATTGTATCTCTCCTGTTATGGGTGAATAGGCAGATAAGGGAATGATCCTACAGAACAAGTTATTTTACCTTATTTTCGCAACTTGTTCATATGGGCAGGTAGACCACGAGGAACGTACCTTGTGTGGAGCACATAGTATACATGGTAATTTATAGTCGGAGCGTGGACTTTGTACCACAACTGTTTAACAGACAATTGGTTTAAGGATCAACTTCACTTGTCTCTTTGACGAATCGTAGGGGGGTGCTAGCAATGGGAAGGCTGAATGAAGATGCCGGCGAAACGTCTGGGAATGTACCAGGTTCATAGTCCGACTGTAATTATCATGCATACTATGAACTCCGGACCAGTTACATCCCTATGGGTCTTCCTGACAATATGACCAAATTTCAAAAACCAGGTCGAACAATTTCCCAAAGCTATCTTGTTTTTAAGGGATTGTCGGAAAGACTAAGAATCTCATAAAGCTAGCACATTATTAGTGGCAATTAAGCAAGTTTCTGACAGATAATTTGAGAGACTTTAATCTATTTGGAGCATTAAAAAATATTAGGAAAATTCAAAGACAAATAAGCGAAATAGTACAAGTTGGTTTGCCCTTGTTTTCGCAACTCGGTAAATAAAAATTTTGGGAAAATATCTAGTCTTGCGTCAGGAGCAAAAGCTGCCATGATAGTTAAAGACATCGGACAAATGATGCCATCCTTAAAGCCGGATTAAAACTAATCAATCGACAAATTATCAATTTTCTGTTAAACTGTCGTGACATATATTCGGTCCTCTGTCTTAGTCCTTAGAAATATATCTATATCTTTTAACTTAAATACGTATCCACAACGGAAATAGATAACTCATTCGAAAGCTTAAGGAATGACATCTCGCAAGGTTGTAAGCCCCATGCTTACCATTATTTCTAATTCCACTAATCATTTAAACCCGAAATCCACTTTATCCTCGTAAAAATCTTTACTAATCTCTTTCCTACAATAATATGGGTAGAAAATTCAGCTACTAGTCCTCTTAGGAAATAGGCTGAATACATCTCATATAACTGATCTGCTGGTAGTCTCAAAACCCTCCTTATAAGCTATATAATTAAGTTTATTTTAACAAAATTTAACGCCATATCACCTTGGTTTTCATAACAAATCAATAGTTATGGTGGCTAAATCAGAGCAAAGGTAAAAATGAGATGAAGAATGAGCACTTACAAAGGAGAATTCTTCCAATGAAGCAGAATGAAGGCGGAGAGTAATTTGAATGAGAAGGTGCATTGCGCGATCGTATGTATTTGCAGAGAGACCTCGGAATCCGTTTAGTGCACTGACTACTGATGCAGAGGCAACGAGGTCTAATTGTTGTGTAAGACTGCCAGGTAACTAACATACGTCATAATTAGTTAGAGAAAATGGAAGTACGAATTAAAAACAACATGCGAAATAATAATTAAAAGAATAGGATAGTATGCGATGAACGAGGAAGGTTGATACAATTACAAAATTAGCATTATACAAGAAAATCAGGAATTTTAAAAAAATGATAAAAAACTATGAAGCAAGTCTAAGTTTTTGTACCTTGGCCTGATGTTATGGCCAACACTAAGATATATTTTTATTTTATAAGTATGGTTTCGAGATTACACGTAAATTAGTTATGAGTTGTATTCACCCTGTTTCGTTTAAGATGAAGGACTGGTAATTGAATTTCTCAACAAAGATTTAAGTTGTTATGACGTTTCTATTGAATTTCACATAGCTTTGCTGTTCCAAAAGCTGTTCTCGTCCAGATTGGAATGCAATTTCTTTCTCGCCTACGTTTTGCCAACACCCCAGATGGGACTCGACCCGTTAAAGCGTAGCATGTAATGTCGACATGTAAGCCACTACGCAACATTGCCACGAATGCCCTTGAGTCACAAGGCAGATGTCAATTTCCAGGAAGCATTTTCACATATGAAATTATTTGGTGGTATTTCGATGATGCAAAGTTATATTTTTGCTATATTAAGCTGAAAATATCTTAGATAGTTTATTTACTTATAATCTTGGAACCCTACTTCTTATAAACTAAAAAGAAGTAATGTAGTCTAGTATTATAGCAAAATGTAACTTTGCCCCATCGACAATCTCACCAAAGAATGTGACAGAAAAATGCTTGCCTCCCTTGAAATTCACATATGACCTGTGACCCAAAGGCACTCGTGGGAATATAACATAGTCGTTAACGTGTTGGAATTATAGGCAGCTACGATGTGGGTGCTGATAAGACATAATCGAAGTCAAAAGTGCAGTCCACCCTGGATGTGTAAAATTAAATGGAAGCGACAGCCCTACTCAAATTATTGTGGGAAAATTCAACTACCAGTCATTCATCAGCTTAAACGAATGAATAAATATCATATTAGGACCTATTACAAAAATAAATATTAAAAGGCACCTAGAAAATCAAAAGAACGAGTAGAATCATCTACTAGTTTAAGATAACTAATGGGAAATATAATATACAAAGCAAATCAAATCTCTATCGGCACACATTTGTATTAATTTGAGTAATAACTTCTAGATCTATAAATTACGATAGCATTTTCTTATGCATTCTTGAAAAGCAAATAAATTGTTTAAAAAGTTTGTTTTTATTAATTAAAGCAAATAATAATGATCTGACGGCGGAACTTATCATGAATGCTATCGAAGATGAAAAAGAAATAGATATGCTCCACAAGGTCTTAATGTTAGGTCAACGAAGATGCAAGTACGAGGTCAAACCAACACTAAAGTGTTAAAGGAGGCTTCGAAGAAACCTCTTATCTTTCTATCTACGATGTAACAAGAAAAAATTTGATAAGAAGTGATTTGGTCTCGTTTGCTCAACTTTGTGGCAGTATCAAAAAGATATTCATAAATGCAACTTGTAAAAAGACCTCTACCGTCGGATTGTGGATTAAGGACATGTCTTGATGTTTCGACAACATCGTCAATGAGTTTTTATCATCTTTTTACCAATGGCAAGGTTCACAAAGGATTTCGTGGAAACGTCAGAGTACGCAACTAATCAACGATCCGATAGTAAAAATTATCGTTACAGAGGACTCCCGAAGATGTGAATTTATCAATGCATATTTAATAATATTATAAAGTTGAGAAAATGAAGTTAAACGACTTCTATGGAACAAGAAATAGATGCTATATCCTAGAGAGTTGAATAACTTCTCGACGAGCACAATATATGTAAAGCTCTGTAGGTGATAAACATCGTTAACCCCAAGATCTGGAAAGAAATTTACTGGATAACTAACCTTGATTTATAAACGGTAGGTGCAGTAAACCGATGGCTTACTGCTTATATATTTGGTCAACTTGCCTGGCTGAGCCCAGTAAGCTGAGTAAGTTGTGTGATCTGAGAGGACGACTGCGAAGCCAATAGTGAAGATTGTGATTGTGAGGTTGAGGCATTATCAAGTTGATGTGAGTTCGGAGATGACAAGTGGGTGAAGCGGTCAAGAAGGGGAGAGAATTGGGGCAGAAAAAGTAGCATCTGGAGACACCAGAATAGTGTAGCCTTAAAACGAAAAAGTAATGAAAAAAATTAAATAGTAGAATGGAAAATGTATATTCAGGAGATCCGAGAAACCAGACAAGTCATACGTCAGGCTAAATATAAATGCAGCGAGAACGTTTAAGTCTGTAATTATAGTAAAAAAAGTAATTTAATTATCCATTGAAAAAGTTCTTATTTCAAGAAAGTCAGCTATCTGAACATTTTTGATAACATTCTTCATGGCATTGCATTCGAAATTGACAGGCAAGATAAATGAGGTCGCCTTAGTGGTTATTATCCTGAACATAAAATATTCCAAGAAAATTATTATTTGAAAGAATCAAAAAATGTTGATGAAAATCAGACGAGAATGTAGAAAAAAATAATTTATTTAGCTAAAACAGTCTATAAGTTTACTCTTGAGATTAAGCATTCTAGTTCTTTTTCAAAAAAAGCAGAAAATCTCGAATGTGGTATTGTCTAATTTTGGAAAGGAGTAAAGCTGTGAATTCAATAATTACCTACCGGGTGCTCTAAATGTCGTATACCAGATGAATCGTTAGGATCAAGACGAATAACCTGGTCAATGCGGACAGGCGGAAGGCCAGTTGGATCATCGGAGGACAAGGATGTGGTATTCATCACTGTTGTCTTTTCAGTAATTAGTTCAACAATATCTAGGCGCTTGCGATTTCGTTGCGATTGAATTGAGGCTTGGCGCACACGGCCAACCAAATTAGGAGACAAACAAGCGAGCAGAAGACGCGTAAATAGCAGAACTATAGGTTCCGCGAGACCAACATTCCGAGTCACTACTTCGCAAAGACCCTGAAAGAATATAAAAGGAAAAAGGCTATAATAATTATGATGGAGGAAAAGATTCTGATTTGTATAAGAATGAGATGAAAGAGGCAAAATTTAGCCCATCCTATAGAAAGATTAATTTTAGCAAGCAAGGCATAGCTTCAATTAGATATATAAAATTACTGGCCATGAATCGCTAAAGCGACATACGAATTAATTATTTATTTCATGAATCAACGAAAGGTTCTGAATTATGTCCAAGAATTTAAAAAATGTTGTGGCTTAATACTAAGAATGATGTTATCTAATTACCTATTGCCAACCAACATAATTCAAACAAAGCTCCAAATAAGCTAATTAATTTTGGGAAGAAACTGCTAAAGAATTGTTGCTCTTCCACGTATCGTCCGCTACATTATATACGGCTCAATAAGGATGCATTAGGGTCGGCGAACGAATAACCAAGGAATAAGTTCAACAAGGTCATCTTAACTAAAAAGCGTTTTTTTGATTCCAGAGAAACTTAGTTCTCGACTTTCATGTAAAAATAAGCTTATTTTTAGCGAACAATACCAGTTTCGACTAGATTTAAGATAGAATGAGGGCATTATGCTAGTAATCGAATTAGGACTATATGTTTATTAAATTTAAGTCCACAATATTCAAAATATCATTCAATTTTAGAGTAGGAAAAAGACTCAAATATCTTGCTGAGTGTCAAGCTCACTTCAGTCTAATTTCAAATAAGGGACGTGCTGGACAAGAGGTAAAAACTCTAAGCCAAAAGCATTGTGTTTCCAAACAAACATGAACTTAAAAAGGCATCCTTTGGAGCCATAAAAGCATTAGGCTAAAGGCAAGCTTTAAAGAAAGTTACGACCTGATTCCATCTTCGTACATAGATATAATGAATCACGTCTAAATAGATTACCATTAGAGCCAAAAATTTCAATGTCTAGTTCTATTTTAAATACACCTAAGCATTGAAATAGAGACTACATGCTCCCAAGGCATTTAATCATATTTGAAAGTAACTTATCAACCCATGGGCACAACCGAAATAATGGAAGTAAAAACAAATGAATGAAACTAACTTCAATCATAAAGGAAATAATAATAAAATAAGGTGTGCCATTTAATTGGAACAAAATTGGCTCTCACACTAGCGAGTCAGACCAAGGAAGAAGAGAGAGAATGAGAAAGAGGAAGGGTATGATATGAGAAATCAGAGTTCCGAAGCTAAAGAAACCAAAAGGTGGAGGAGTAATCACTAGTTTAACAGGTGTCCTGGGTAAGACCATCCTACAAGTCCTAACCATTTTAAATATGCTGGTCTTTATAAAGGAGGTAGTGTTAGACAGTGAAATAAGACAAAAGAGAACAGCTGATAAAAGTTAAGTAAAGTGAAATTTGTATCATGAAAACCTACAGATGTGATGGAAAACCAATCAAGGTCATTACGCACAAAAAAATATTTTTGGAAAGAGAAACTATTGGAAGATATTGGAACAAGCGATAATGAAAGATAAAGATAAAAAAATCTACCGAGGTTATATTCATTGTGAGGAAGAACTATAATCACCTTAGGTCGCCTAAGACGTGAGAAATATCATGAATTTTCTAAATATAATACGCAAGTATATTGAGGTTTATTTAGCCCTGCTCCTAAAAGGGTATTCTCATTCAGAGTGAACTGCAGTTTCTACATCGCATGGTTCTCATGAGCACCCCCAAGGAAATAGCACCTGTTTATTGTATCGTTGATTTTCAACATGTTAATATTACGTGAATTTACCACATGTGCCCGTGAATCAATATGGGGCTTAAGAAAGAGTAAACTCATCTTTTTTATTACAGTCGAGAATATAGTTATATCGACACGGTAAAATTCACTATAAGTCCCTTAACGTCTTAAGCTATAGAAATTATATATGAAATGAAATCGTTGAATGAGAACACAGGGCTAGGTAGGATGGAAGGAGAGAGATGCCAAAAGCGTATATAAGAAGATTGGTGCATTTGGGTTGCCTTTATTTTTAGCTATGATATCAAGAAGACTTCTCTCTCTTAGGATTGTGACCAGTATGTATGCGAAACGTCCGGGAATGCACCAGTAAAGTATCTTATACGGGAAGTTATCATGTAATCTACGTAGAAGGATATTGGCCTAGTATTTTTTAAATATTTCCCTGTCGAAAAACAGATCAAACCTTAGGTGACTTCAATTTACTGGGAAATGTGCAAGAAACGCGGTTTTAGAGAAGCTCACCTTTGAATCTGTTGAAAGCATAAAGATGTTTCGACTCTATGAGTGAGACGAGATAAAATAAATCGGATTGGAGTACCTTTCATTTCATTTCA